CGTTCGTTAACCCCCTCCCAGTTTCCCCTCCCGCTCCTCCTCCTGCTCCTTCTACCGCCCCTCCTCCTGCGCCTCCTCCGCCCCTTCCCGTTTTTCCTCGTGCTCCTTCTCCCGCTCCCAACCCCCTTCCTGTTTCCCCTGCCGCTCGTCCTTCTCCAGCTCCTCCTCCAGCGGCTCCTCCGCCGCTTCCCATTTCCCCTCCCGCACCTCCTCCCACTCCTCACTTGGTGCCCTTGTCACTGCTTGCGCCGCCCTCCTCGCTGCTCGAATCACTGCCGCTCTCCTCGCCAGAATCGCCGCTCACTTTCCGGGTGTCGTCCCCCTTCCCCGTCCTAGACCCCTCCTCCTCCTTCCCAAGCTCGCTAGCCTGTTTGCTGAACTTGCCCCTCTCCTTTCCGGACTCGCCGTCCTTCTTTCTCGGCTCGGCACGCTCCTGGCTGACCTGGTCGCCCTTCTGCCCTGGCTCGCTGCTCTCTATGCTCAGCTCACTGCCGCTCTTGCCACGCTCGGGTATCGCATCCCCGCCACCCTCCTTGCTGAGCTTCTTTCCCCCCTCCATGAGCTCGTCATGCTCCTCGCTAACCTCACCGCCCTGCTTGGTGATATCGCCGCCGTCCTTTCACCACCCTCCTTATGCAGCTGCATGAGCTTGCCCTCCTCCTTCTCGCTCCACTCATCGCCGTCGTCGCTTACCTCTCCCGCTCTGCTGGCTTCCCTCACCGCTCGCTTTGCCGCTTTGCCCATTCAGCTTACCGCCCTTGCTGCTCACCTTGCTGCACGCGCCACTCTCCTTTGGGAGCTCGCGGTTCTCCTCCCTTTTGGGCAGAAGCCTCTCGCTGCTTGGCTCCTCCCGGCTATCTTTTCTCCTTTTCTGCGGCCTGCCTTCCTACGGTGATGCGCACTTCTACCACCAAACAGGCCATCCTTAGGCTCAGCGCCTTGCTCTTCCTCATCTAAATCCCCTAAATCGCTTTCCTTACTATGCTCGCCGCCTTCATCTCTCTTCCTTAGCTTGCCGTGTTTGTCGCGCTTGCGATGTGCCCCATCCGACTCGCCGTCCGTCTTCTCCCCACCGCTCCCCCCCTTCTCTTCCCCTCTCTCCCTCGTGTCACCGCCACTCTTCTTCTGTCTGCCCGTCTTCTCCTTACCACCCCTCCTCTCGTCGGTCTTGAGCTCCCTCCCCTCCATCCTTTCTTTCTCCCCTTCTCTTCCTCCTTGTTCAATGTACCGCTTCAAATCATGCCGCTTCTTTTTCCCGGTCCTTTTCCCATCCCTCCTCCCGCTCCTCCCGCTGCTCCCGCTCCTCCTCCCGCTCGTCCTCCGCCAAACAACGTGAGAAAGATCCCGCCATAGCCAA